AAGGCCACAGCAATGGCTCAAGGGCACCCCACGGCCGCAGCAATGGCTTCTTATACGCGTTCAAGGCTGCCGTTTGCCAGGCCTCAAACGCTCCAAAACCTCCAAACCCTCCAAAAGTCCGGCCAGCTCCGCAGGGAACAGGTACCCCAACAAGCCCAACACGCGCCACTCTCGACTGCCGCACGCAAAAGCCACCACAAGGCCACAGCAATGGCTCAAGGGCACCCCACGGCCGCAGCAATGGCTTCTTATACGCGTTCAAGGCTGCCGTTTGCCAGGCCTCAAACGCTCCAAAACCCTCCAAAACCCTCCAAACCCTCCAAACGTCCGGCCAGCTCCGCAGGGAAAAGGTACCCCAACAAGCCCAACACGCGCCACTGCCGCACGCCAAAGCCACCACAAGGCCACAGCAATGGCTCAAGAGCACCCCACGGCCGCAGCAATGGCTTCTTATACGCGTTCAAGGCTGCCGTTTGCCAGGCCTCAAACCCTCCAAACCCTCCAAAACCCTCCAAACCCTCCAAAACCCTCCAAACCCTCCAAAAGTCCGGCCAGCTCCGCAGGGAAAAGGTACCCCAACAAGCCCAACACGCGCCACTCCCGCACGCAAAAGCCACCAAAAGGCCACAGCAATGGCTCAAGGGCACCCCACGGCCGCAGCAATGGCTTCTTATACGCGTTCAAGGCTGCCGTTTGCCAGGCCTCAAACGCTCCAAAACCCTCCAAAACCCTCCAAACCCTCCAAAAGTCCGCCCTCCAAACCCTCCAAAAGTCCGGCCAGCTCCGCAAGGAAAAGGTACCCCAACAAGCCCAACACGCGCCACTCCCGCACGCAAAAGCCACCACAAGGCCACAGCAATGGCTCAAGAGCACCCCACGGCCGCAGCAATGGCTTCTTATACGCGTTCAAGGCTGCCGTTTGCCAGGCCTCAAACGCTCCAAAACCCTCCAAAACCCGCCAAAACCCTCCAAAACCCTCCAAACGTCCGGCCAGCTCCGCAGGGAAAAGGTACCCCAACAAGCCCAACACGCGCCACTGCCGCACGCAAAAGCCACCACAAGCCCACAGCAATGGCTCAAGGGCACCCCACGGCCGCAGCAATGGCTTCTTATACGCGTTCAAGGCTGCCGTTTGCCAGGCCTCAAACGCTCCAAAACCCTCCAAACCCTCCAAAAGTCCGGCCAGCTCCGCAAGGAAAAGGTACCCCTACAAGCCCAACACGCGCCACTCCCGCACGCAAAAGCCACCACAAGGCCACAGCAATGGCTCAAGGGCACCCCACGGCCGCAGCAATGGCTTCTTATACGCGTTCAAGGCTGCCGTTTGCCAGGCCTGCCCTTTGCCTGCACATCCCTCGCGGCAGCTGCCACCAAGCCCTCTGGCCGTCAGCGTTCTTATACGCGTTCAAGGCTGCCGTTTGCTAGGCCTCAAACGCTCCAAAACCCTCCAAACGCTCCAAAAGTTCGCATAGCTCCGCAGGGACAAGGTACCCCAACAAGCCCAACACGCGCCACTCCCGCACGCAAAAGCCACCACAAGGCCACAGCAATGGCTCAAGGGCACCTTCCGGCCGCAGCAATGGCTTCTTATAGGCGTTCAAGGCTGCCGTTTGCCAGGGCTCAAACCCTCCAAAACCCTCCAAACCCTCCAAACGCTCCAAAAGTTCGCATAGCTCCGCAGGGAAAAGGTACCCCAACAAGCCCAACACGCGCCACTGCCGCACGCAAAAGCCACCACAAGGCCACAGCAATGGCTCAAGGGCACCCCACGGCCGCAGCAATGGCTTCTTATACGCGTTCAAGGCTGCCGTTTGCCAGGCCTCAAACCTCCAAACCCTCCAAGCCCTCCAAACCCTCCAAAAGTCCGCCCAGCTCCGCAGGGAAAAGGTACCCCAACAAGCCCAACACGCGCCACTCCCGCACGCAAAAGCCACCACAAGGCCACAGCAATGGCTCAAGGGCACCCCACGGCCGCAGCAATGGCTTCTTATAGGCGTTAAACCCTCCAAACCTTCCAACTCCTCCAAAAGTCCGCCCAACTCCGATGCAAAAGGTACCCCAACAGGCGCCACGCCCGCACGCAAAAGCGACGACAAGGCCACAGGCTTGAGAAGCAAACGGCCATATGTCTGTCTTGCTGTCCGTCTCCCTCTCTCTCTCTACAGTACCCCCCTCCAATTAGGGGGGTCGGCGGCACCTGGGCGCTAGCCCATTCTATAGATGGGCAGGTAGGTAGATAGCCAGAGAAAGAGAGAGAAAGAGTGAGAGAGATCAAGCACCTTTCAGTCCATCAGTGGCTTCGCTCTGCCATCCCTGATTCACAACAACCAATTTCTCCTATAGGTTTCCTATTTTTGAAACTTCCGCCACCGCCTTGTGCGGTACTACTGGTACTGGGAAGTACTTTTGTGCAAGCTTTGCAGTACGAAGTAGTACTGCGAAGTACATTGTGCAAGCGTTGTAGTACGAAGTAGTACTGGGAAGTACTTTGTAGTACGAAGAAGTACACAGGATGATTTTTGTTCGCAAGGTACGAAAAGGCCAAAAGAAAGAGATGTAGGAATGAAAAACGGCCTCAAGACAAGGGAGATGCCAAGACAGAAGGTGTCAAAGGAAACAATTTTCACAGAAAGAGGTCTCAAAATAAACGTGTGAAACAACAGGAAACAAGAAAAATGGTGCCAAGCGAAAACCGTGTCAAGAGAATGAAATGTGGAGAGAAGAGAATGTCAAGAGAAGAAGGTCTCAAGAAAAAGAGATGGCCAAAGATAAGGATGCCAAGAGAAAGAGACATCAACGGAAAGCGGCTGAAAAGACATCGGTTTCAAGAGACAGCGATAACATCAGAAAAAGCTTGTCAGGAGAGAAGAGTGTGTCAAGTCGCTGGCTTCAGAGCTGTCGACGAGAAGGGCTGTCAAGATTCAGAAATGTCAAGAGCAAGCCAGATCAAGAAACAGTGGCAGCATGAGACAAAGATGTCGAGAAGTCAGAAACGCCAAGGACAAAGACTTCCAAGAGATCACGGAGGCCACAGCCGTGCCAGCCAGGCGGTCAGGCGTTGTTCCTACAGGCTCTCCCTTGTCTTTATAGGTTCTTCCCTCTCTCCAAACTTCCGTCACCCGGCTTGCCCGGGCTCTACTTGTATATATGTATGTATGTATGTATGTATGTATGTATGTATGTATGTATATATATATATATATAATGTATAGATGTGTATAGAATTGTATAGATATGTATAGACGTGCATAGATATGTGTAGATATGTACAGGCTGTATAGGTATGTATGGATATGTATAGATACATATAGGTATGTATGGATATGTATGCATACGTATAATATGATTGTATACGTATGTATAACGCATGATGTGTCATGTATGATGTATTATGTATATATAATGAACATGTATCTACGTATGTACATACGTACAATTTAGAAGCAACTTAAGGATCGTGAGTGCTTTTCCGTGCCAAGCTGCATAACCAATAGCCAGCTGCAGTGGAGTCCAATTGATGATAACAGCCGATGGTTCCTGTCTGGCAGCTGGCATCAAAACAAGATTGCGATGGATCGGTCAAGCATGGTATGTCGTCCAGGCACTTGATCGTCTACCAGCCACGAGATTTGTAGCTTTCATCTATCAAGAAGCCTAGCCAGTAAAATCCGGGCAGGCAACATCTCGGTCAACCCGATCTCTTGAGCTTCAGCCTTCTAGAGATCGGGATGTGCAGCAGAAATCAAGAGTTTAAGTTTATTTTATTCTATTGTGCTGGCTCTGTCGGCTCAGAAGTTGTCCCCTCGGGAAAAATGTACCGCCTTCATGTCATTCGCACCTATGCTATTAGATACGGTGTGTTCTACTCCGTAAGATTACATGGATGATGCCAAATGCCAACCAAACGATGTTTGCTTTTTGCCTTTTGCACACATTTGCTTAAGGGGCACGTCATCTCGCTTGCAACCTCATGAAATTGTTGGCACTCGTAGGTGGAAGTGCCAGAAACAGTGCACTCAGTGCGCCCAGTGCACTCAGTGCGCTATATTCTACCCAATTTCTAGCCAATTTCTACCCATACCCCGTGCTATGGGTGTCGGTGTCATCATGCCTCGCCAGGGCGAAGCGACGGAGCTGGCAGGGCTGGTAAGCGAGCCTGGCAATCAAATGGGTGATGGGGGTACACTGTCCATATGGATCTTTAAAAAAAACTTCCAATATCTAAAAAAACTATAAAAAACTTACAATATCTATCAATATCTTACATATTTTCCACCGGTGTTCCAACCGTGTTCCACGTGGTACTGTAACGACAAAGTCGCCACGCAATCCCGCCCGTTTGAGCAATCTGGAGGAATGTGCGGCAACTTGGAATTTCCTGTGTCGTGCAAGCCCTAGGCTCAAAAAGGAACCCAAACAAGCCACCTCAACCATCCTCAACCTAGATCTCGGTTTACAAAGCAGAAGAATTGTCTAGTTTGGACAGAATTCGCAGAAAACAACACAGGGATGCCAGCGTGCAACTTCCATTGAAATCCTTCGGATTTGCGCGTTTTCTCCGGAGGTTCCCATAGCCATAACATCCATAACCATGACTATGACTTCAAGCTGAGCCATAGCTCACCAATATTTTGTCAGCATTCCAAAGAACTCGTCAAAACTCACTGTACTCTGTTCATATCTTCTCATTTGGGTCCTGTTCCAAAGCTCCTACTTGTCTCTTGCCAGTACGAGAGGGGTGATCTCCAAAATCCTCCTCAGAGCCTCCATGCACCTCCACAATCCAGATCCCTACCTCAAAACCTGAACCTCCCAATTCTGATCGAATAGACCCGGGACGCCCAATACATGCTATGAATGGTTGAAAATCATCTCTATTGACTTCTTCATCTCCTGCGCTCAAAAATGCCTCCACACCCTCCGCCTGCAGGCTACCTCCCAGCACACCCAGATCCCACTACAGGACTGTCGCACTTTCGCGCAACTCACCAACAAACCAAGGACGTTCCCCCAATTTTAAGTTACCCATGAAATGGAGGCTACCGTGGTCCCACCTGTTCTGAGCAGCTGTGGCCTCAAAAGAAGGAAGTGTGACGTCCAGCATGACCCAAAATTAACAAAGAGTCAACAAAGATTCACATGTTGGTTGTGCATGGTTGTGCTACAGTATCCGGATGTGCCAAGCGTGGCGTCCTTGAGTCTAGGGCTGTTCATCGGTACTCGATTCAGAAGCAACGCTATGCGTGTTTCCTCGCGCACACACACACACACTGATAGCTGACGCTAGACCAAAAAAAAGTCACCCCGATAGTCGTCTCAAACAACACCTATCCAATTATCCTTGTCGTCTGCAAATGCATGTGCATCACGGCCGAGAAAGGTAGCAATATCAGCGGCGCTGGGAAATGTGATGGACCTTGCATGCCGAATGGGACAAATGCTGGAGGATCGAAAATGGAATAGACTTGAATGGACTTCACCTCTGCAACGCTTCCAAATTTGAGCCAACCACGCAAAGCTGCATCCACGAGCATGTGCGACGATGCCCTAGCCAGCAAGACAAAGCTTGATGACCAACGAGTATCGACTTGTAACAAAATGCAACAGCTCAAGATAGCTCAAGTAGACTTTCAAACTTTGCTCTAACACTCAGAATTTGTTGGCCTTCGTAGCTCCCTGCCTTGGAAAACATAGGCTTTGCGCTGCACATGACATGACGCTGTTGCTTCCATGTCCACCAGGTTTGGCGGAGGAGATTCATGAGATGTCACACGATGTGGCGCAGTACTGCATGGGAGGTTGTGCTGGTTGTGGTGCATGTGGTGATAGTGATGGTGGCGGCTGCAGTGGCATTGTTTTATGGTCCATATTATATTCCCGCAGGTAGTGCAAGATTTATATGATTTTGCTGTTACATGTTGTTACTGCTCCTTCATGTTCTGGTAGCCTCCCAGGTTGTAATGTTGCGATTGCATGCCCCGTGTGTTAGGTGTGCTAGGTGTGCTAGGTGTGTTCCCCGGAAGAGATAATTCAAGCCTGGAGAATTTTTTTCAGGTGAAAACAGAGCCACGGCCGGGACAGTTCGGTGTCAGGTGATGGTGATATATACCCATTGACTCATGTAGCTATAGTATTGCGGACTTTGCGCCAGATTCTCCAGATTGTCATGACTGTCATGGCGTTGCTCAGGTCTTCTTGTGTTGGTCCCACTCTTGTCGGTAGTCCTGTGTAGATCTTGATGGATGTTGAGACATGTGGCATATTGTGGCATTGCTGTAGCACGTTCCCCGCTATGCTGTGGTGATATGTGGTGATTGTTGCGACGGTGCTGCTAATTTGTTGCGACTATTTTTGCTCTGAGCCAGGCCCACTGCGTAGGCGTTTGGAGTGCCAGTCCTGTTGTGTTGGACCGTGTCGTAGTGTCCCGAACATGTCTTGGCAGTCTTGCTGTTTGCGTCGGTGTTGGTCTTTCTGCTGATCCTGAGATTGTTCCAGCTGGTGTTGCTGTTGTTGGTCTGATTACGTCTGATTGTAGCCCTTGGTGCTGTCGTGGTCGTAGTGATCGTTTTGTTTCTCACTTGGACTTGCGATCAACCAGTACCTGGGAGCTCCTTGACTTTCAAAGGATTTTTGTGGCCGCCCGTGTCCTTGTTTGTTTTTGTGGTCTCCTAGTCATGTGGTTGGAAGTTATGCCTGTGTGCCAGCGCTGCGACGGAGATTGTCCGTGTATTTTGTTCTTTGGTGTGACAACCTCTCCTGGGGTACAATTGCGAAGGCTGTTCCAGGATCAATGGAGCTAGCGGTTAAAATCTCTTTGGGGATAGTGCTGAGTTCACAGCCATTAGGACTCTATGCGAGGTGAGCCACACCATGCATTCAAATCCAATTCCAAGTCCCCATCCCTCTGGGCCAGTCACTTGGAGAAGAAGCGCATTAGCTCCGCTTCACCGACATCAATGGATAAACCAGACAAGACGACCTGGCGAACGTATCAGCAGATTCCAACAGACTCCCAATCCCATCCGAGATCCATTCAAATTCTGCTTCAAAGTCGTCCCCAGTAGGTAGCCGCTCCCCCCACCCCCTATAATTCACTACGCTCACATGTGGTTTGCATAGTTTCAGTGCCAAACCCAACAGACCATATCAGGCGTCGGGGTTCATCTGGTGGCAAAGCCATCTAGCATGTAGCACACTACTTTAGCGAGTTCTGTGGTTCCTTCTCTGCCTGTAGTTTCCAGACCGCTTCACCCCCCCGTCACAGTTCCTCTAGCCAACGCTTTATCCATCACAAGTTTCACCCAAATCCAACAAGACCCAAGGATAAGATCTATCAAGAGTTCAAGCATGACGTGCCCCAAAACCCGTTGAGTTTCAACAATCTACTAGTAAACGACGTGTGCGGGTCCATGTAATAAGAAAAACCTTTCTGTATCTATAGTTCACTCTATAGAAAATTGTCACTTTGTGGCTTAGCAATCTGCACTGTGAAACCCAACGGACCATATCAGCCGTTGGGGTTCATCTAGTAGCGAGGGGGGATCGAAACCTATTGTGACCAAAGTGCCACCTGGCGCATGGCCCGGAAAAGGCCACTGGAATCCATTGAATGTCCACCATTTTGACGGCAATAGTCAGCCACTGCCCCAATACCCTCTAAATTCACTACGTTTGCAATCAACTTGAGAGGGGGGGACGAAAGGTAGGTGGGGGCACATACAGGAGGGACAGGAAGAGAGAGAAATTAAACGAGGAGAAGACAGAAGAATAACAAGAAGAATAAAATCACGGTCAGTATTACAAGAACTAATGCAAGATCGAGGTGCTGAGTTTGCTGACAAGATACATGCACGAGATGGGGCTAAAGTGCTTCAACCGATGGATGCTCGGTTGAGGCACTTTGTGTGTAGAGGTGTAATCCCTCAAAGATGCAACGCTCATGCTAAAGGAATGCGGCATGTGGTGGCGAGTAAATAGAATCGATGGGGATGAGCACGTAGACAGCTGCAAAGCAGCGAAAAATATACAGATATCCAATATCACCAATCTCCAATGACATACGCTTTTTGGCTGTGGACCACAAAAAAATCGAATGGGGGGGGCCCCCCCCCTAAGTGGAGATTCCTTGCTTTCAGCTCTCAGTTTCCGGGAAAGGGCCAACCACCTCCCCCAGTACTAAACTAGTACTAAAGTACATAGAACTCAGGTAGCCTAGGCTACCTTTCGTGACAACTAAGCGTTGGCTGTTGGCTGGTTTTCGTAATTTTCGTGAGTCCTGCCCTTCTTTCTTTGCCTGTAGCTCTTGCCCTCACAATTCCTCTAGCCAACACTTAAGGCTTGTATCCATCAGAAGCTTCACCCAAATCCAACAAGACCCATGACCCAAGGATACGATCCATCACAAGTTCAAGCATAACGTGCCCCAACATCCGTTGAACTTCAACAATCTACCAGTAAACAACTCTAGCGGGTCCATCTAAGACGTCAAACCTTTCTGTATTTATACCGTCTATACCTTTGAAAAAATATCCCGGCAAGAGACCCCAAGCAGTGGGGGGAGTGGGAGGATAATGTATGATAATGTTGTTGCTGATGACGATGACGGTGACGATGACGATGACGATGACGATGATGACGATGATGACGATGATGATGATGATGGTGGTGGTGGTGGCGGTGATGGTGGTGATGGTGATGGTGATGATGATGGTGATGATGATGATGATGAGGATGAGGATGATGATGTTGAGGAGGGTGATGAAAAGGATGATAATGTTGATGTTGCGGAAGATGAGATGGAGGTTGGTGATATTGAGGATGATGAGGTCAAGGGGGAGAAAATGATGATGTTGAGAATGATGGCGTTGAGGAGGAGGAAGATGATGATGTTGAGGACGATGATGTTGGGTGTACATGTGTACATGATGAAGCAGGGTGCTCACTCTGGGCTTGGGTGGGCCCGGACATTTTTTCTGTAAATTCTCGCATAAAGTGGCTCTTGTGGAATGTCCAAGTGCAGGTTGACTGCGCAGGCTCGCGCAAAGTGTGCGTCGCGGTCTTGGGACCGTTCCTCAGTGTGGACACACTGTTTGGGGATATTTTTGAAAAATGTCAATATGTGGCTTAGCCATCTTCAGTGCCACGCCCAACCGGCCATATCAGCTGCTGAAGGTCATTTAATGGCAAAACTCGCATGTAGCACGCGATTTTGGCGAGTCCTTTGCTTCCTTCTCTGCCTGTAGCTTCCTGAAAGATCCTGAAAGCATGTCTGCTCCATACATGACATTACCCCACCCCCCTCACATCTGCCCAAATCCAACAAGACCGAGGACAACAGACCATATCAGCCGTTGGGTTTCATCTGACCAGCTACCATGTAGCACACACGTCTGTGCCAGACATGACATTACTCCATCCCCCGCACATCTCCCCAAGTCCAACAAAACCCAAGGACCACAGACCATATTAGCCGTTGGGTTTCATCTAGCCAGCTAAGATATAGCACACGCGTTTGCTCCAGACATGGCATTGCTCCACACCTCCCCCAATCCGACAAGACCCAAGGACAACAGACTATATCAGCCCTTGGGTTTCATCTAACCAGCTAGCATTCAGCACGCAATTTTAGCGAGTCCTGCGCTTCCTTCTCTGCCTGCAGCTCTCCCCCGACAGCCCCTCTACCTAACACTGAAGCTATTTATCCATCAGAAGCTTCACCCAAATCCAACAAGACCCAAGGACAAGATCCATCAAAAGTTCAAGCAATTTCAATGCAAAGACCACCGGACCATAAGACGTTGAACGATGTCAATTTGTGGTTTGGCCATCTTCATTGCCATGCAAGCCCAACGGACCATATCAGCCGTTGAGGTTCATCTAGTCGCAAAACCAGCTCGCACGTAGCACACGACTTTAGCGCGTCCTTTGATTCCTTCTCTGCCTGTATTTTTCTGCTCCATACATGACACTACTCCACCCCCCTCACTGACCAGGGCCAAGCCTAACGGACATATCAGCCGTTGAGGTTCATCGAGTGGCTAAACCAGCTCACATCCAAATCTAGCACACTACTTTAGCGAGTCCCTGGTTCCGCCTCTGCCTGCAGCTTCCAGAAAGCACCTCTGCTCCATACATGACACTACTCCACCCCCCTCACCAGGGCCAAGCCCATCGGACCTTATCAGCGGTTGAGGTTCACCGAGTGGCAAAACCAGCTCGCATGTACCTTTGGTTCCGTCTCTGCCTTTAGCTCGCAGAAAGCACGTCTGCTCCATACATGACACTACTCCAAACCCTTCGCCAGTGCCAAGCCCATCGGACCATATCAGCTGTTGGGGTTCGTCGAGTGGCAAAACCAGCTCACATGTAGCACACTACTTTAGCGAGTCCCTTTGGTTCCTTCTCTGCCTGCAGCTTCCAGAAAGCACGTCTGCTCCATACATGACATTGCTCCACCCCCTCACGTCTCCCAAATCCAACAAGACCCAAGGACAACAGACCATATCAGCCGTTGGGTTTCATCTAACCAGCTAGCATGTATGTAGCACATGCGTCTGCTCCAGACATGACATTACTCCACCCCCTGACATCTCTCTATCTCTAACAATAAGACCCCAGGACAACAGACCATATGTAGCACACAACTTTTCCTTATCTGCCTGCAGCTTCCAGGAAGCACGTCTGCTCCATACATGACAATGCTCCACCCCCCTCACATCTCCCCACGTCCGACAAAACCGGAGGACAACAGACCATATTAGCCGCTGGGTTTTATCTAATCGACTAGCATGTAGCACACGCGTCTGCTCCAGACATGAAATTGCTCCACATCTCCCCAAATCCGGCAAGGCCCAAGGACAACAGACCATATCAGCCGTTGGGTTTCATCTAACCAGCTAGCATGTAGCACACGCGTCTGCTCCAGACATGACATTGCTCCACATCTCCCCAAATCCGGCAAGACCCAAGGACAACAGACCATATCAGCCGTTGGGTTTCATCTAACCGGCTAGCATGTAGCACGCGCGTGCTCTAGACATGACATTGCTCCACATCTCCCCAAATCCGACAAGGCCCAAGGACAACAGACCATATCAGCCGTTGGGTTTTATCGAGCCAGCTAGCATGTAGCACACGCGTCTGCTCCAGACATGACATTGCTTCACATCTCCCCAAATCCGGCAAGACCCAAGGACAACAGACCATATCAGCCGTTGGGTTTCATCTAACCAGCTAGCATGTAGCACACGCGTCTGCTCCAGACATGACATCGCTCCACATCTCCCCAAATCCGACAAGACCCAAGGACAACAGACCATATCAGCCGTTGGGTTTTATCGAGCCAGCTAGCATGTAGCACATGCGTCTGCTCCAGGCAAGACATTGCTCCACATCTCCCCAAATCCGGCAAGACCCAAGGACAACAGACCATATCAGCCGTTGGGTTTCATCTAACCAGCTAGCATGTAGCACACGCGTCTGCTCCAGACAAGACATTGCTCCACATCTCCCCAAATCGGACAAGACCCAAGGACAACAGACCATATCAGCCGCTGGGTTTTATCGAGCCAGCTAGCATGTAGCACATGCGTCTGCTCCAGGCAAGACATTGCTCCACATCTCCCCAAATCCGGCAAGGCCCAAGGACAACAGACCATATCAGCCGTTGGGTTTCATCTAACCAGCTAGCATGTAGCACACGCGTCTGCTCCAGACATGACATTGCTCCACATCTCCCCAAATCCGGCAAGACCCAAGGACAACAGACCATATCAGCCGTTGGGTTTCATCTAACCAGCTAGCATGTAGAACATGCGTCTGCTCCAGACATGACATTGCCCCACATCTCCCCAAATCCGACAAGGCCCAAGGACAACAGACCATATCAGCCTTTCGGTTTCATCTAACCAGCTAGCATGACAAGATCCATCAAAAGTTCAGGCATGTTCAATGCAAAGCCCACCGGACCATACCAGCTGTTGAGGGTCAGCATGGGTTCATCTAGTAGCAAAGCTCGCGCTGCCCAGCCCCACAGCTTGTGGACCAGCCCGCAGTTTGCAGACAGGGGGACGGACCGGGGGGAATCGAAGCCATACGGTCACCAAATTGCCACCTTGTACATGACTTGGAAAAGGCCTTCCTAGATCAATTATCATCAATTGAATTTCCACATTTTTAGCGGCAATAGTCGGCCACTGCCCCCAGACCACCCAATACTCACTACGTTCGCAACCAACAACTGAGCCTTACCTGCCGGCTGGCTTTCGTAACAAGTACCCGAACAAGGCAACGGAAGACAACAGGAGGTGAGAGAAGGCGACGGAGATGTTCGACATTGTGAGCGATGCTGTGAGCGATGGCAAAGAAGGTGATTGCTGAATTGCTGACTGACCCTAGCCGACCCTGGCCTTACTTGCAAAGGCGTGGAGGTCAAGGCTGAGTGGTGCGGGCTGAGGCTTGCCTTCACCTGAAACTCCAAGCGTCGCAAGGCATCACAAAGGGAGCAGAATATCATCAGCATGCCCGTTCATTTGTTTCCAATGCGCATTAAATGAAAAATTCATATAAATTCTATATTCCAATCAGGTCGAAATTTCTTTGCACTTCTGACTTTAGCCGCGTGACTGGCTCTACTTCCAGATTGCATTCTGTTCTTATCTTCCAAAGACCAACCCGCACCCTTCAAACTGTTTACCAACAAAAAATGGAAACAGTTTATCGGATTCATCGGATCCTTCGCTTCCATCATATCCACCATGGGTTCGATCTGAACAGCTCGGGAGACCTGCTCCAGGACGTGGCAAATGGATCCTGCAGCAAGCCAGCACGGATCCAGCGGGGCGATCAGTGTGCGACAGCCTCAGCCAAACATGAAGAGTTCATCAAGCCGGTCAAGGCACAAAAGAATACCGAAATGATGCAAAAGTTTGCAAAAGGACTGCAAATTATACATCAAAATATTGGTGTTGAATTGCCTGGTAAAGGTAAAGAACCAAAAAGGTGTTTTTTTTGCCCGACCCACACCACTGAAAAGCAAAACCAAACACTGTCAGCAATGTGTTTGTGCTTGTGGGGCCGCGGCATCACTAACTTAGCCTGAGGTGCAGGATGGATCCGGACTTGCATTAAAAAAAAGTCAGTTCACATCAAATAAGAATCAAAGGAATCAAGATTTATTTGGGAACTGAAAGTTTTCGGCCCAAAGCCAATAATTACCCAAAGATGCTGCGCTTCCCCAGCTCTGCACTTGCAGCAAAACTTAAGCCCAATATCGGTGCAACCGGGCGCAACGTACAGCTGGGCGCCTCCGGGAGAGCACCCGGTTCTGCCGCCTCGCCGAATGAGTAAGCTTTGCAATGGCAGCAGAGTGCTGGAGACCAGCTACTTGCTGCATGGCACTAACAACAGGTCCAACCGCTGCATGACAGACCCTGAACATTTCTCAGCTTCTTGTGCCAGTTGTAGCTGCGTAGCACCACTTTCATGCACAATTCAGTACATATGACATATGCGTGTTTTTGTAGCGTTCGAATATTGTCATTTAGACGAGAGCATACCAAGGTACCTGTGATAATTGAACCAATCATAAATCCACAGCACTACAGCACCAGAGAAATGTCTGCTCCATTCTGCTCGACACTTTGTGATTTGAAGACACACAGAAAGCGGCAGAATAAACAATCGTCAGCGCCTGCGGGATGCAAAAGGTGACTTTGTCTCCAGACTGAAAGCAAATCTGGCCACAGGCATCCTGCCTGATGAGTACCTCGACTAGGGGGGTTGATGGTTTTAATATGTTTCGACATGTGTGTAAGCAAATTCGCCCGTCTGGAATCCACTGGATGTAGCTGATTTAAAGGGAATGGTCTGCGGCACTTCGCTAGAACCTCCATAGTGACCTATTTCTTGGCAAACAGCAAGGCCAGGTTTCCTAAGACGTGCGGATTTAAGGTGCAGGGTCCACATGAAGCGTGCACAACACGCACAAAACGCATCGAACCAACGTGAGGTCCCCGCCATGGATCTTCAGGAGAGTCGCGATTCCACCTGAAAAGGCGCAACTTTTGCAAACTGTCAGTTCCAAGCCGCATAATCCGCAGACCCCAAGGAACCAGGGGGAGCGGCGGGGAGCGCACCAGAGAAGCAATTTCGTGAAGCGGAAGAACGAGAATATTTGCATGGAGACCAAGAAGGGGCAAGAATAAGCAAGAGGCAAGAGGAAAGGCAGACGAAAGAAGAAAGCCAGCTGCAAGAGCAAGCAAGATAGTAAAGAAGAAAGCAAGCAGAAAAACACAGAAGCAGACGAAAGAAGAGAAACTCGCAAGATAGCAAGCAAGAGAAGCAGACGCAAGAGCAAGCAGGTTGCAAGCGAGAATAAGCAAGAGGCAAGAGAAAGAAGTAGGCTAAAGAAGAAAGCCAGCGGTTGTTATGCCATATTAGGTTTGTCGCCAGAAAGACCCAGAAGGTTGGGGTTTAAGCGGGTGTTGTGACGCAAGAGTAGGCTTGTGGAAGAAGCAAGCAAGCCGCAAGAGCAAGAAGGTTGCAGGCAAGAAGACGCAAGAGGCAAGAGAAAGAAGCAGATAAAAAATGAAAAGCAAGCAAGATAGCAAGCAAAATAAGCAGGCGTAAGAAGAAAGCCAGCCGCAAGAGCAAGCAAGATTGAAAGCAAGATCTGGAAGAAGAAAGCAAGTGGAGAGAGCGAGAGCGAGAGCGAGAGCGAGAGCGAGAGCGAGAGGGAGAGGGAGAGGGAGAGGGAGAGGAAGAGGGAGAGGGAGAGGGAGGGAGAGAAGAAGTAGGCGAAAGAAGAAAGCAAGCTGCAAGGGCAAGAAAGATAGCAAACAAGATATGGAAGAAGAAAGCAAGCGGAAAAAAGCCAGAAGTAGGAAGTGGCAAGAGAAAGAAGCAGACGAAAGAAGAAAGCAAGTCGCAAAAGGAAGCAAGAGAAGAAGGAAGAACAAGAATATGCGAAAGCAAAGAAGAGGACAGCAAGCTGTAAGACAGCAAGCAAGGCATGGAAGAAGGAAGCAACCGGAAAAAGGAAGACGCAGCAGATTTGAAATTTGAAGCTAGTTTCTTGCAGTTTCAGAAAGTGCCAGCCACGAGCGCGATCCACCCTTCACTGCCATGCTGCTTCAGTGTGGCGGAGCCCAACGTTTTGGAGGCTTGGGAAACGCATCGATTAGGCACGAGCAGCTGCCAGCCGCGAGGACAATCCGTCCTTGATTCTTTCCTCTGGGGTTGGCGGCCGGGGGCGGTAGTGCCTCTGGAAGCCGCTGCAGCATTGCAGACCCAGCCGCGGCTTTCTGCCGCCGACCCTCCACCCAAAATCCTTCACTCTGCTTGTGTTCCACGTTTTTGGTCGTCAAAAATCCACGCAACATTGGTAAAAACGGGGTTTGCTGCCAAGTAGGGTCTGGAAGGTCCATTTTGGGCACTTTTTGGCGGACGTTTGATGTTTTATTGGTGAGTGCCAAAGACCAAAACACTGTAATTTACAGTGTTTTTTCTGGCTTTTGCATTCAAAAAATATTTCTTGCAACATACCAGTGTTTTTGGCTAGGCGCTTGCCAAAAAGCACTGTAAAAAACGCAGCCGGGTGCAAAAAACATCGTAAATACCATGCTTTTGGGCTTCCGAGGCGCAAAACGAGAGCCTCAAAAAAATATGAAAACGCCACCTATGACAATGCTTGGCCACTACGAGACTGAGAAAAAAGCTGCAGGGGTAGTAACAACAACAGCAGCAGCAACAACAACAAAAAACAAACAAAAAACAAACAAAAAACAAACAAACAAACAAACAAACAAACAAACAACAACAAACAACCAACAAACAACAAACTGCAAAGATTCTGGATCTTTCACCAGTGCAGCTAACAGTAGACAAATCAGTATCTACAGTCTGCAGTTCACTCAGACCTTTTCACGGTGTGGCGTCTTGAGCCAACAGTCAGTTGGCAGTCACAGTCAGATCAGTACGATCATGGAGTGCGCAGTGGGTCAGTGTATGCATCTTAACACTTCCCCTTGAATCAGTCTCGATCAGTTGGACATGATTCACAATGAATTAAAAAAACGCAGTCCCTACTCGATACAGTTGATAGTCCTAAGACAGTGGTACGGACCAGTCAGTTCACTATTCAAACAGTATCACTTCAGTTCACTGAAAACTTTACAGTTGGCGGCTCAGTGCAGTCTCTCACTTGCGCTTTCGAAGCTCGACAGTGATGCGACGTCCATAGGGCAGTGAGCCCAAAATCACATCCACAGTGGACTCATCAGTGTCGTCATCATCATCAGTGGTCAGTGGCACAGTTGCCACACGAGCAGTATTCATAGCTCCAGTGGGTGCAGTTCCCTGTGTCTCAAACTGCATCTGATAGGACATGTCATCAGTGTTCAGTCCAATCATTTTGCCTTGAGACACAGTGAGCACGAGGTGCCCAACAAGGCCTCTGCAGTGATATCCGTACAGTTCAGCGCACGTCATCTCAGTACTCAATGCAGACAGTGCACCAAGAGTCAGGCCTTGAAGCTCGAAGATCATCCCAGTCTCCAGTTCAGTGGGTTCCAGTGCGAACTTCTCAACACTTCCAGTTGTCAGACAGTGGTCCAACCACAGTCGGTTGAAAGCGTAGAGCATGTCAGTGCCAGGCTCAGTCTTCACAGTGCCTTGGCTGAATCTGCTCTTCAGTGGATTCATCACCAGCAGTGAGATGTTCTCCTCAGTGTCCAGGTCCATTCCTTGCCAGTACATGTGCACCACTCGCAAGAGTGCAGATCTTGGACAGTGCCACAGATTGCACTGCCGATGGACAAAACTCGACAGTTCTCCACGGGCAAATTGTCCCATCTGAGAACGGGGCAGTGCCAGTTCAAGGCTCCAGTCAGCCTGATCCTTCGTCACAGTGTTCCCGAGGACAGCAGTGAAGTCCACATCATCAGAGGTGGCAGTTGCGTGAATCACAGTGATTCCGCGGTACAGCTCAGTCTCAGTCCTTGAGTAGGACAGGTGGTTCTCCTTCAGTCCCGGAAACAGTGACTTCCAGTGACATCTGGGCTTGAAGAATCCCAAATCGCCTCGCGTGCAAGGCAGACATTGATTGCAGTGGTCTCGACCAGTGGTCGCTGCATCCTCAGTCCATCAAGGCCATCAGTCACAGCGCAGGGAAGCTCAGTGATCGGCCCAAAGTGTCGCTCAGTGCGGGTCTTCTTCAGTGTTTCCAGCAGTTGCTGACGGTCAATCAGTTGCTGTGTCAGTGTCAGCAGTTGATAAGCCTCAAGCTCAGTCAGTTCCGGAAACGGAGGAACAGCATCAGTTGGAACTTTCAGTACATTCATCATTGCGGTATACAGTGGAGTCAATACCGCATTGGAAATCTGCTCGGCCACAGTGGTTGCCATCTTCGGTGACAGTGAGCAGTCAGGTAGTAAAGCTCAACAGTGTCAGCGCGGTCAGTCAGTGACAGCTATTTTGGGCCAAAAAACAGTTCAAACAGTGCAGTCTCGGCTCTTCAAATTCACTTCAAACATCCAGTGCTCAGCAGTGGCTTTCAGAGTGCAGTGACAGCAGTGACAAAACGAATTCAGTATTCATAAAGCCATCTATACAGTATATCATGTATGTGTGTGCAGTGGTTGGCGCTACTTCCCCTCCAGTTGACAGGGGGTGAATTTCCACAGTCCAGAGCCAGAGCTTAAAACAGTTGGCTTGGTGAAACCTTTCTGGCAGTGCTACAGTTGGAAACGATCAAGAGAAGTGAAAACACACAGTTTCTTCAAATGGGATACCAACAGTTCAGAAGAAAGATATTTGGCGAGAACATCAGCGCAGTTTACTTTAGTTCGTACTTTTCTCAGTCTCAGAATTCCTTTCGCTACCAGTTCCTGCACGTAAAGGAATCTCAGTTCTACGTGCTTTGTTTTCTTGCTTGTTCCAAACCTGGTGGCCATGCTTTTGCCTGCAGTGTGGAGTCCGTGTGAACAGTGCCTCGCTAGTTCCTTGTCCTATTGCATACAATTCTGTTTCTCCCGAACTAAGGGCAATTGTTCCTTGTGTTCTGCTCCCAAAAGAAACAGTTGAGTTCAACAGCTGAACCACAGTTCCACTAGTGCTCTCTTACGGGTGGTCCTACTTCCGGCACAGTCAGAGTCAACATAACAGTCAATGTCCAAAGTGCAGTCCGAGTCCGACATTGTCACGCTTGGACACAGTCGTTGACAGTGATCTCTGGTACCTGAAATGTACCTCAGTAAGTGTTTCACCTTGGTGACACTTTCAGTGGTCGGTGCAGTCAAATCTCTCGACAGTTCTTGGTCGCATAAGACATGTCAGGTCTGATCAGTGCAAGCCACAGCCGGTTACCTACAATCGCGCGATACGCTTTGTGATCCGCGTTGTTCAGTGGTTGAGGAACATAGTTTGGTTTCGTAGAAGTTCCAGTGGTAGGCGAAGGTTTTGCGTTTTCCATTCCAAACAGTTTCAACATGTCAGCTACATACGCAGTGGGCATGGTGATGTCTATGAAGTTGACTGTCGTTTGTGGTTTCAGTTCACCTTCAACCTTCAACAGAACCTCCTTTGACAGTTGTTCAGTGAAAACTTTGATACGCTCAGGGTTTCCACATTCAGGGTTTCCACATACCAAAAGATCATCCACATAACACAGTACATACAGTTCCTTATAGAGGAGTGACAGTACAGGTTAGGGTCAGTCTTACAACGATGAAATCCCAGTGAAATCATTGTTTTCGCGAAGTGAGTTTGCCAAAGTGCAGGTGCTTGTTTCAGTCCATACATCGCTCGCTTCAGTAACCAAAGACAGTTGCTTTCTGGGTAAAACTCAACAGGCGGTCGCGTAAACAGTCGCTCAAACATGGGCGCATGCAAAAAGGCAGTTGAAATGTCGCAGGTCAAAACAGTCCAACATCTTGACAGTGACAAGAGAAGAAGGACGCGAAGAGTGACAAGAGTAGGAGTAGACGCGAAAGTGTCGTCAGTGTCCATGTCCTCTTGGAAGCATCCGCGTGCAACCAGTCGACAGCGAACTTTATGCGGCGTTTTCCTACGCTTCACCCAAGTGCAATCCAGTGCATTGTCAATGTCCTCTTGTGAACAGTTTTCAATTGGTATTTCATCATACACCTCAAATCCTGTCATTGATTTCATTTCTTCCATCCTTCCTTGACTTCTTGTTCAGTGAACTCTGGTTCCACATGACTCAAACACGGTTCTGTCAGTGCAAGTTCTTGTCTGGGTTCATCAGTGTCTTCGTTTCTAGCTACAGGAACCAGAGTATCACCCATAGTCACAGAAGACCCACAGGCAGTAAAAGTAGTGACATCAAACAGTGCTCCAACAGTCTGACGTTTGTGTTCCTGAATGTCATCATCCGACAAGTCATCAGCTGCAATCCGTTTCGGATGTGGCAGTCGTTCAGTCGGAGGCAGTCTGACGTCTCCAGTCTCTGGCGGAAGTGACTTCAGTGACTCAGCATCATCTCCATGAGATGGGCTGTAGCCTTCAGTTTTGGTTTCCACATCGTCTTCTGGCATTGGTTCAGTTTCCACAGTCTCGAGTCCCGGAGGTGCTCGGATTCGTCCGGAAACTCCCAGTGACGGCGGAAGAACAAGTGGTGTCAGTGGTGTCCTTTCCTTTTGGATCCCAAGGTGTCACGTTCAGTGCTTTGTGTAGGGTCTTGTTCCATTGTTTTGACGGAACTACACGTCGCACAGTACGAACTTTGTGCATGGTACCATTTCCAAACACCAGTGACTCGTCCACTTCAGTGTCTTTGCCTAACCAGATGCCTTCATACCAGGCAGTGTCAACTTTGTCACGCAGTTTACACGGCATTCGAAACAAAACAGTTTCACCAAATTCACGCAGTCCAGTTTGAGTCCTTTTTCCATCTTCGAAAATTGGAAGTTTGACCATCTTCATGTGTCATGTATCGATTCAGTAAAAACTGTGAATGTTTGACAATCCATGGGAAAATGCAGTCATTCGAAGTGATCTCTATGCCTAAGCAGTCTTGCAGTTGCAGTCGAAGAGTCCCCACTTGTCCGAACAGTGTCTGTTGCATTCTTCCTATGGAACCATGTGCCTGTTTCCAGTCTCTCGGAGTGGCTCTCACGCTCATTCCCAGTTTCGTAGACGAACTTCTTCAGTTCAGCTATGCCATAGGCATGTCTACCTTTAGCAGGTACACGACAGACGTCGCCAAACCAGTTTGAACATCAGTAGCAGTCAAAATGGTTCTTTGTTGTACATCAGCTCCTGTAGTAGCAAACGAATAGTCGATCTGAATGACAAGTTGTCTATCAGTGTTTCGCTTGCTTTGTCGTTCTTTACCTTTGGCACGTACACAGTGTTCGCACCAAGACCTATAGGGCAAATGCGTAAGGTTGTGTTGTGCTCTCTGTTGTTCAGTCGGCTCATTTGGGTCTAGGCAGTGCTTTGGCTTCTCGGGCAGCCTTGTCGTGTGCTTCCTGTTCAACAGTGACTTCAGGTTCAGAGCGCTGAAGAACAGTAACTCCAGTCCACACAACAGGTGGTGACATCGGTGGTTCAGTCTGGTCATCCAGTCTCCACATGTCAGTGTGAACCTTGCCGTTCCAGTCATCATCGCTTGTTCAAAAGAACACAGTTGTTCTCACGTGTCCCAAGCCAGTATGGTCTGGTCCAGTCTCATCAGGAAAGTACAGTTCTCTCCGTGCAGTGTGATGAAAACGTATCCAAGCAACAGGCGTGTGAAGTCAGTGATCTGCAGTTCTCACGTTTCCAGTTTCAGGGTCTGGCGTTTGAAACAGTGCAAGCAGTAACACTCTAAACTCTTCATCATCACAAGTTCCATGTGACAACAGTCTAGCAGTGATATTCCTAGCTTCATGTGCAGTATGCGGCAGTAACCTAGACGCGTCAATGTCCTGTGTCAAGGCGTCTCGCATTGCAGTGTCCGTTTCATCATCTACAGGCTCGTCAGCGTCTGGTTTCCTTGCTCTTCCTTTGGTTGTATTTCTCAGCAGTGGAAGAGAAGTCTTGAGTTAAAAACAGTCTTTCCTTTCCAGTGTTCCTTCGTTCTCTCATTTTGGTTGGCCAATTGCCTGAAGTATTCAGTGACAGTTTCCACTCTACCTTCACCAAAGTCCATCGTAGTGATCCTGGTTCCAGTGAGTCTAGCCATTTCAACAGGGCAGTCTGACCTATCTGGCATAAACTTTGTCCTTCGCGGTCGTTTGTGGATTCGCGTCAGTGGCGGTTCGCTTCGTCCAATTCCCATGGAGTCAGTGTGATAGTACTTTGGCTGTATGGTATTGATCAGTGTCTTCAGCTGTTCAACAGCATCAGTGCCTGGGTCTGTGGGCGGCACGTCCACAGAGTTCAAGTCAACACCAAGTGTGTCCATGTACTCATCCAGTGTACGTTCACATGTACTCATGGACTCAGTGTCATATGCCACAATTGACGGTGTGAGATACAACAGTGTGCCATGTCTCGTCACGTTTATCGTTTCTTCTTGTGGAGTCATCAGTTTCATGCAGTCCTTGCCAAGAACAGTCCAGTAACCTTGCAGTAGCATTCTGGCAACAGAAACCAAGCAGAAAGGAACATCGCAAACATAGTAGTTCACAAACAGTGATACACCAGCAGCATCATATTTGATCAGTTTCCTCCCAAGTATATAAAATGGTTTGCCACTCACACTTCTAAGCTTCGGTGGGTCTTTGCCTACAGGAAGCAGTGGATAGTCAGGTGCATAGTCAGCAGGACAACAGTGCGCAGCAGCTCCAGAGTCAAACAGTATCCAGTGTTCATGTGAGGGTACAGCTGCGATACACTTGGCATGGTATGCACTCAGTGCGTCATGGTACGTCTCAGTGTGACAAGTCGAGTCTGGAAAATCCAGTCGCTGTGAAACAGTTTCAGGAATCAGTGGTAATCCCTGAGGTCTACCAAACGAAATCAACACTGCTACAGTTGCAAGAAACGCTCCAACCAGTCCAGGTCCTTTGTGCACAGCGCGTGCTGAACCAGTGCTCGTGGGTATGGGTCTGACATGAGTGTGTGTTTCACCAGTCTCAACATCAGTGACCTTCGTCACAGTCGAGTGGGCAGCTGAAACGTTCGGTACAGTGTTCTGTGTGGAAGATGCAGTTCTTCCTTCAGTGAAACCAGCTGAGCCCGTTGCAGTGCTGGACGATGGTCCAGGCTGAGGCGGTGACAGTGCTGGAGGCACAGTGGGAGCAACATCAGTCTCCCAAGTCCAGTTGTCATACCAACCATCAGTCCACCAGTCGGAGTCTTCAGTCCAGTATGAGTCCTGGTAAAAGTCACAGTAATCACCGTAACTCCAGTCGTCATAGGTCACAGCTCCTGTACAGTCAGTCCAGTCAGCTCCTTCGTCATATTCATATTCTTCTTCTTGTGTTTCATCATACACAGTGGCTACGTTCTTACAGTCCTTAGACATGTGTCCGTGTTGTCCGCATTTCCAACACCGCGGTCTTTCTTTTCCTTTTCCTTTCATTGCAGTGGGGGCCCATTTGCCGCTTCCACTCTTGCCTTTTCCTTTCAGTGGGTCAAAAGGGGACAGTTTTCCACTTCCTTTGCCTTCCATTCCAAAGGGGGACCATTTTCCTCTTCCTTTGCCTTTCATCAGTTTTCCTTTACGTTTACTTCCTTTCCAGTGGGGGCCCAGCTTGCCTCGTCCACCTTTGCGCCACAGTGCACCAACGTCCATGGGCGCAGGTCCTCCAGTGTCCACAGTCCTGAGGTTCGTAATATGTCTCGATTGGTAGTATGCAGTAATCACATCTTTCACAGTCTTTCACAGTGTCATAACTGTCCATTGTCCTCACGTTCAGTCTCAAGTGCTGTTGCAGGGGGCCAGTCGTTCTGTTCAACAGTGTTGCCACCACAATGTTATCTGGCAGTGCTGCTCCAGTTTGCTTTTCATACCTGGCCTTCAGTGTTTCCCACTCACTATAGTCTTGTTCGAAGTGTTCAGGGCGAAACCTAAACTCCAGTACCTTTGTCAGTAGACTGATATCCAGCGCAGTTCGTGGTAGAGAAAATCTCGTACTCAGTAAGCGCCATGACTCAAAACCATTCAGTTCAACGTTTCCACGTACTACCAGTCTGGCACTATCTGTGGTCAGTTGTGCAAGCAAGTAGTGCAGTTGACGACTAAATCTAACTAAGCCTGCATCTACGAATCGTGCAGTGTCACGCTGCATTCTCTCAAGCAGTTCATTAGTGATCGGATTTCTGGCAGCTTCAGCTCCTTCCATCACTTCAGTAGCTTCAGGTTTGAACAGTGCTACATAGGTCTTCACAGACCAACTCCATTCTTCCCAGTGTTCCATCTTGCCATTGAACTTATCACTTATCCGGCAGTGGCAGTTGATTGGTTCCACCTAGTGTTCCACTTTCTCCCAGGTGCGCCATCGCTACAGTGCTACTTCACAGTTGCAGCAGGAGCCAGAGCTCCGCTACCATGCAAAGATTCTGGATCTTTCACCAGTGCAACTAACAGTAGACAAATCAGTATCTACAGTCTGCAGTTCACTCAGACCTTTTCACAGTGTGGCGTCTTGAGCCAGCAGTCAGCTGGCAGTCACAGTCAGATCAGTACGATCATGGAGTGCGCAGTGGGTCAGCGCATGCATCTTAACACAAACAAACAAACAAACAAACAAACAACAACAGAAGAAGAGCCAGCGGGCGACATTCTGGGCAACCCTTGGGGCATCGCCGGTGTGCGAAACCCTACGCATATATATTTATTGTTTTAGTAGATCATAATGAACAATGATAAACTATAGGAAACTGCGTGCTCCACTCGAGTGATTGGATTCTTTCTCAGGTCCAGTCTCCGGAGATCGAAGTATGGTTCCGCTGTACTTCTGCATACGACGGACCTGCACCGCACAATTCACTGCACTGCACAGATCACCCGAAAAAGGCCAACATATCAGGGATTGAATCGTGAAGGCTTTCAGCATTGAAGTGGGGAAAGTTGGAAAGAGTTGGAAAGCCCGTGCTTTTCCTATCAACATCAAAACACAGCGCCTTCACGGCTTGAGGGAAACCTTCCACACTAAGCTTCACCATGAATTGCACCAAGTCCTGTCGGTTTGTGGTGAAGCACGGCGAACACTAATTCAAGAAGGATTTAGTGACCTTGAATTTGTTACCAGGATTCTTTTCCACTGCTGTGCCTCAGTCCCAAAAAGCCCACAGATCCAGAAGTGTTTCGTTGGCAACAAGTTTTGCCACCAATCTTGGGGCACTCGTGGGACACTTGTCGGCGTAAAGGATTGCGCAGGTGTTTTGCATTTGCAGGATTTCCAAAGTGTCAGGGCTGCACTTTCTGGCGCTCAACCGTTTGAATTTAAACCGGGATGCTGTGCAAAGAAAGGGGTGCTGGGGTTTGTTGCACATCTAATTCCAAACAAAGTTATGAGGGTGCATACGTCGTACGTTGGATAAGGTGCAGTTGGGACTCATGTGCTCTCCCTGAAAACAAATTGAACATGTCCCCCCAGCCCTGTCGCTGAAGACACCTCCTCTGCAAGGCGCAGCAAACTTGCTGATCGTTCCTGGTGCTACCAATTCTCATCCGCACAGCAGACTGTTGGCGCTAGACAAGCTTCATGGTTTTGGCATTCCAGCTTGGAACGCTGCGTGGGCACATGTTGGAAGAATTGGTCTGCTCATGAGTTTCTGAAAATGTGCATGCATGGAATGAGACGAATGCGTACATTTGAGATGAGTGTGGCCAAGGAAAAGTTAGAGAGTGGGGGACACTGGACTCAGAGAGTCAGCGTGAAACCTGTCGTCTTTAATAGAGTAATAATGTACTGGATGTGAAGTTTGATGTCATCTGGTCTCAGCAGTATATTATATAATATATATATATATATAGTGGTGTATATAGTGCAACAGAATGCTATAACGCTTCAATCATACACAGGAGGACTGCTGTACATACAATCACTGGGCGCATACAAACAGTGCCACATATGCTGAATTTATTGTAAACACGGTTTGCAGTTCTACAAAGTTGCCGCAATGATCGCGCGAAGGGCTTTGGGGAGGAATTCACGACCCTTGGAAGAAGCTGCTCGTCACGATTTCCAGCAAGCATAAAAGATATCACGGGCTTGCAGCGGTTTGATACCAGTTTGGGCCACAGCTTAACATGTTTGCTAGATTTTGCTAGCATGGTGTTTACATTTTTTACACATGTATATGCCTTCCTGTTGATTCATTTTCTCTGTACCGAGGCCCGCTGGTCTCTTGCAAGGGACCCAGTACTTGGCATGCAATGTGACCATTTAAGCCTTAAAAATCACTTTCAGTGATACAATGGTTGCTGATGGGGCTTTAATAGTTGCACGGAAAAATCCCTTTGAGCAACTGTATGTACAGTATTGTATAGTATAGTCATAGTCCCCCTGGAGCAGCCACAGCCACAATCCGAGGTTTTGGCTACTGTTCAAAGAGTCTGTGATCGTTTTGAGTCATTTAACATAACCATTGTATCAAGTTGATCGAGCAACACCAGGTGCCTAACATGCTTTAGGAAGACCTATGCAATGTTCATACAGTCTATGCAATTGACAATTGCGTATGTTAGAAAGTATGTCAGAGACTTGCCATAATTTGGCTGAACCATTACGACCTTGGCGGGAATGTTCTTTATCTGGCAAACCCAAAGTATCCCATCACTCTGACATCTTGGGACGCAATGTTGTTTAGGAGTGGTGAGGGTAATTAGTTCCAGTTCCTGTGGTTACAAATTGCTCATCATGCCAGGACCATGGCATGACCATAGCCTTCTAAGGCCCGCACTTTCTCGTTCGCCATCTCTGTAAGCTTGTCGGTTACCTTTGCTGCCCAAGTCTCTGCTTTCGATACTGAGAACAAACTCAGCAATGGCCCAAAACCCAACACCTATGGACCATGGACGTTTAGGGTGCTTGTTTGGAGGTTTAACTTGTGTGTCTTAGTAGTCAGCTACTCCTGACTTCTGCCATCCATCCTGTAAAGGGCACCTTTCTTGCTGTGTTTGCCACAAACTTTGAAAGGACAGTGGATGTGGCTTTGTTTGTACCTCTTTCATCCCCTTCCCATCGGTCCAATTCTCCGGCTTTCATATTTAGAGAAGCGGCCCTTTGTGGATCTTCCCCGGGTTCCAGCCATAAATCTGCTGCCGCCATCTGCGCCTTTCATGCCAAGAAGCTGTCCAAATAAGATATATGCATCATCAAGAATATTCGACAATACGAAGAATACCAACCGCTTTCACGTGGGCTCTGTTGGCACTGTGCGAAGAGCATGTGTTGGAATGACGCGGACAATGCAGAAACGGCACGCTCTTTTGACTTCGACGCGGTCCTTCAAATCAAACTCTCTGTGAGACTTTTTCATAAAGTTCATCAAATCATAAAGTAAAAGGGCACATTCCAACTCTGATCCGTTGGGCTGCCACGCTCCTGGAATGGCTTCCTTTCCCACTACAGTGTGGGTGTAGTGTGGGTTTGGGTGGGAAAGGCCTCGGTGTAGGCAGGGTGTGCGTGTGTGCGTGTGTGCGTGTGCGTGTGTGTGTGTGTGCATGGGTGTGTGGGTGTGTGTGTGTGCGTTTCCACGCATGTACCTATGTCTGTGTCTGTATCCGTGCCTCCGTGTGTGGGTGTGTGTGTGTGTGTGTGCGTGTCAGTATCAGTGTCAGCGACAGTGTGTATGCATAAGTGTGGCTATGAAATTGCAAATCGAAGAATCCAGCATGACGTGACTCGATCTTGGCACATTCACGACAATGACGGGCCGCAGGGAAAATTAATTGGATGGAGATGGAATTTATGCGGTGAACAGACTGACTCGCAATTGCGATGCTTCAAGCAAAAAGCAAGTGAGAGGGCCTTCTCGACATTCCGACAACAAATTTGATATGAAGCCTGCATCTTCTTGAGAAAATCAGAAAGTCTGCTTACATTCTGTTGACAGTCTCATTTGCACCGCCCAACTGTCGCTTCACTGGCAAGCCCTGCTCAACTGTAGCCAGCCAAGACATCACCTCCAGGCCAAGCGGTTGAACCGAAGCAAAACGCTACAATGAGTTGCTGAAAAGCAAACAAAAAGTGTTCATGGATAAAAGATGACAAAAAGCTGTGAAGAAGATCAAAAGGTTCCGATGCTACAATTAGCTGCCAACGTCGTCAAGTTTGAAGACAAAAGGTCTGTGAAGTCTCAGTCTGATGAAGAAACCAGCAGCTGCTAAGATGATGCATCTGCATGCACTTACGACTGACTAGCTAGATTACGATTGGAACCTGGCTCTGGTACATGTATCACTTGAATACAGTGACACTCATTTATACTTACTGAAGATTGCCATGCAGCTTAGTGAAGTCAAGGTTGCCAAAGCGGCCACAGTTCTACAAATTTCATGGTAGACACCGCAAGACAAAGCAGCCATGAAGCCAACCAAATGCTACCAGCGACAGGTGGAGTGGGGATTGGCGCAGGTATGCCACATCTCAAAAACAAACGGCAAGGTTCGAGTGCAAATCGTTTGAAACATTGGCAGCTACAAGTACGTTGGCATGAATTGAGTCGACAGTACGCTGGAAGAAGCAAACACGAAATTCAGTGGCAAGGCCGTCGAACGAAGTGCTTCGGGGGGGAAGTAGCATGGAAACGAAACCGAAGCTGCGGGCTTCTAAGTAGCAGTGTACAATTTCTGTTGGCAATTGCTTCTGCTTGCTTCTGCATCTTCCAAGCCCGCTTGCGTTGGATACTTGTTTTGAGCATCTGAAACCTGTGAGAAATCTCCCAAAATGGCCATCCGCGACGCAAACCCGAAAAACCTATATAGTTTGATATGTGACGGACGGGGGCGGAATTCAAAGAAACAATAATGTGCTAGAAGCCGAGAACAAAAATGGTGACGAAATGGTGATTAATCTGGTAATTTTCCAAAGGAAATGGGACCAAACACCGCCAGTCAGATTGATGGGCAAGGAAAACCTTAGCATGGTTCAGGAAATGAGAATTTACTGGTCTGAGTCAATGAATACAATAAATTAACCCTGCACACAACCCCAATAGCAAAGTTTTTTATATCCGTTGACGCCAATTTAGTATTGACAGGTGAACAATTTTGGTTCAAAAAAATACAGTCTCTTCAATAATTACCACAGAACACCGCCAAAACACCACAGAAACACCACGAAAACATGAGCAAGACCCAAAACATCACCGAACACCGTCAAGACTGACGGACACACCGCCCAAAGTGCCACCAAGACGCCTACAACCACCGAAACACCATTGAGAGACCACCAAGACATCAGCAGGAGGACAGGCACCATCATGACAGACACCACCATTTCTGGGAAGGGCCTGCAAAAGTTTTCTTTTCCAAAATGTTGCTGCCAACATGTTTTGTCATAATCATCTTTTCCGATCACCATCACCACAACACCGTCAGTGCAAACATCCACCATCATCAGCACACCATCATCATCATCAGCAGCATCATCACCACCATGGTCATCATCATCATCATCATCATCATCATCAATAATAGTACCATCATCATTGTCTTCTTCTTGTTCTTCTTCAATCTTCACTTTAGTCTTTAGTACATCTACAACATGGTGTTCTTCAATACACCTACCAAATTTATATACACAAGCGTAGATGCAGGTAACAATCTTACTGACAGGTGCTTAGATGCAGATGGATAGATGCAGGTTCAAGAGTCTTCTTTCACACAGCTACCAAACGAATATATGCAGGTGCATTGCGGGAGATATACAGATGCAGGTGGAGATAGTTTTTTTCAAGAAAACGCCGAGAAGTGCATACACACAGGTGCAAAGTGGCAGACGTAAAGATGCAGGTGGAGATCAATTTATTAAAGACAACTACAATTTTGTTTTTTCGACATTTTCTCGTAGAGCGCCAGGGCAGCATGGGTTGATGTCCACGAAACGCAGCCCTCTTGCACGACATGTCGATCGTCATAATCGTCATACATTGAGGTCAAATTGCAATGTGGGTTTGTGCTGGGCCAACCCTTTCCCACGAAATGCGTCTCAAAAAACTGTGATTTTGCATATGCTTGCTGAACCCTTTTGCGCCATATGCATGTCCGCCGTCAAAAATCAAAAATGCCCATAGGTAAAAGCTCCTCGTGCAAATGCATTCCTTTGTGAAAGCGCCTCTGTTTGTTTTGGCATCTGTGTGTAAGTTTGCCCAATGTAAAATCATCTCTCTGTAAAAGTATTTGTATGTAAAAAATCATTTCTGTGTGTGAAAGCAACCCTGCGCAAAAGCATCTCTGTGTAAAGGTGTCTCTGTGTAAAAATATCTCTGTGTAAAAGCATGTGTGATTAAAAGCATCCCTGTGACACAGAGCAGCATGAGTGCATGTAAAAGAAAACGCGCGCAAAATAGACATCGCCGTGTCAAAGTATTTGCATGTAAACGCGCCTGCCACTGTGTGTCAAAGTGTCTCTGTGTAAAAGTGCTTGCGTGTAAAGGAATCTCTGCGTAAAAGAATGTGTGCGCAAAGGCACTGTGGAGACGTATTAGCGTGTAAAAACACACCTTAAAAAAAATTCTGTGAAAAGGCAACTGTGTGTATAAACCCGCCCGCGTCTAAAGGTTTCTCTTAGCAAAATCATCTCTGTGTAAAAAGTATTCGTGTCTCAAAGCGCCCGTGTGCAAAAGAATCTCTGTGTTGAAAGTATCTCTGTGTAAGAGCGCCTGTAAGTAAAAACATCCCTTTGTAAAATCATCTCTCTGCCTAAAACCATCTCTGTGTGAAGGCCCCTCCCTGTGTAGAAGCACTTGTATGTAACCGCATCTGTCTGTAAAAACATAATGGATGGAAACCTGATTCCAAAATAGCTTGAACCCTCCCCAAATCGTGCTTCCAGCCTCTTGCCTAGATGCGTCCTAGTCTCAAAGCACCCGTGTGTAAAAACATCTCTCCGTGAAAGTATTCGTGCAAAAATACCTCTTTGTAAAAGTATCTGTGTGTAAAACGCTTTTTGTACAAATGTATTTCTGTGTAAAAGCATCTCTGCGGAAGAGTATATACTGTAAAAGCTTCTGCGTGTAAGGCTACTTTGGGTCAAAAGAAACCCTGCACAAAAGCGTGTAAAAGCATTCCTCTGTAGCAGCACCACTGTGTGAATGCGAAGGCATCTGGTACCCGCGCTTCTGTGTGTAAAAGTTTTTTGTGTAAAAGCATCCCTGTGTAAAAACACTTGTGCGTGAAGGTCTTTGCGTGTAAAACCATCTCTGGGCACATGCATGTTCATGTGTAAAAGTCTGTGTAAAAACATGTCTTTGTGAAAGCACCTCTGTGTGAAAGTATCTGTGTACAATATTTTGGCCGTTTGCTGTTCGAATCTCTAAGCTGCGTAGTATTTGCGTATTTGCGGCATTATCCACCTAGCACCTGTACACTGCCTGGTATGATGCAACATCAGTTCATTGCGCGGAGCTTTGCCATCGGACAATATTTCGCAGCAGTGCGAAGCTAACATCGGCAAATTGAATGGCATTTGCAAGATTTGGAATCATATCTGACAACTGCGTTGTGATTTCACAGCGCTCTGAAGCAAAAAATCTGTACACTGTAGAATGCTTGCGGCATTTAGAAACCAAAAACTACTACTCGCACAGTAGGTGCGGCATACTGGGACAAAATTTAATGCATCGCATAGTCTTTGCAATACATTTGCAACTATCACTGGTAAACCGCATGGCATGCGCAGCATTCTGAAATTGACGCTTGTAAATTGGATGTTATTTTTGCGACTTTCTGAAGCTCAAACCCTGCAAGTAGACGGTATTCGCAACATCTTGAAATTATCATCTGCACATTGCACATAATGGCATGGTGTTTGCAGCGTGTTGCGGCTAAAATCTGTAAACTGCACGGTCCTTGCCACCTTTTGAAACCAACATGCACGCAGCATTTTGGAGCTAGGCCTTCCCTCCCTCCCTCCCTCCTTCTTTCCCTTCCTCCTGTAGAGATTATCTCCTTCTTTCCTGTTGGTTACTATTCTAGTACCCTTTTCCTTTGATAAATTCGCGTGAGGGTTTCGGTGCAAGTGTAGCAGCTACAGTGTAGCATGCAGCAGGTATGCCAACTGCTGTGGTGAGGTGAGCAGCCCACTGCCCTGGTTGCTGCGTGGCATGAGGGACTGTTCGCAGTTGCTTCGGTAGAAGCATCATACGTAGCAATTTATTATGTTAATTCCTACTAACATAGGTCAACACCCATCCCTCCCCCCGCTTCAACCCAAACCTGCAAACGGGGTCGTTGTCATCGCTACCATCGTTGTCATCGTCATCATCATCATCATCATCATCGTCATCGTCATCGTCATCGTCATGACCATCGATATCATCAGCATCATCATCATCAGCAGCAGCATCACCATCATCATCATCATCATCGTCATCGTCATGACCATCGATATCATCAGCATCATCATCATCATCAGCAGCAGCAGCAGCAGCATCACCATCATCATCATCATCATCATCATCATCATTATATATCATCATCACCATCGTCATCATCATCATCATCAATGCCACCAACTCCATCACCATCATCATCATCATCATCACCATCATCATCATCATCATCATCATCAGCATCATCATCATCACCATCATCCTCTTCCTCATTATCACTGTCATCTTCGGCAGTCATTCTGGTCAGAATGACGGCACCATGCAACCGTTGAAGACTAACCAATCGAGAAAACACACTCAAGATTTGAGTGACGCGCAGGGAAACACCACAGAGACACAACCAAGGACCAACACAACAGCCCCGACACCACCAACACGACGCCACCAAGATACGACCAAGACACCGTGAACACCTTGTGTCAGCATGGAAGCCGCTGAGACACCACCGAGGCACCGCCTCGACACCATTATGAAGGCAACGAGACACCATCAAAAGAGCACAACGCAATGCAGACACCGACACCTTTCAGACGCCACCGAGAGACTCCCAAGACATCACAGAGACACCACCGAGACACTACAGAGACACCACCGAGACATCACCAAGACATCAGCGACACACCACCAAGAGACAACCGCGACACCACTAAGACACCACCAAGACACCACCAAGACACCACCAAGACACCACCGAGACATCATCGAGACACCAGAGACCAGAGAGACACCACCGAGACATCACCTAGACACCACCAAGAGACACCAGCGACACACCAACTAAAGACACCAACTAGAAACAACCGAGACATCACCGAGACACCACCGAGACAGCACCGAGACACAACGGACACCGAGACACCACCGAGACACCACCGAGACACCACCGAGACACCACCGAGACCACTATCGAGCCACCACCGAGACACCGCCCAGGCCGGCAGCCGGGAACCCTACGGCGCCCATCTGCCTTTAGAGTTAACAACCCCAAGCTATCGCTATTGGGGAAGTACAACACAACACAACACAACACAACACAGCACAGCACAGCACAGCACAGCACAGCACAGCACAGCACAACACAACACAACACAACACAACACAACACAATCACACTGCGCAAACGGGCTATCTTGATTCTTAAGCAATCAATATGGGTGTACTGTGCTCCATGTGCTGTCCAGCCTCTGGTTGTGACATGTGCCGAATGTAGAGATCAAATTCACCGATGTGCCTCGGACGAAGACTCAAACTCTGCACCTGCTCCATACTGTGCCTCTTTCATGTCTGCATTCCTGCCAACCCTGACCGTAACAACCCCAAATGTGGCCACACTGTTTGGGAAAAAAGAAACCAAAAACAACAAAGGCTAAAAGGCAAGAAACCAAGAAGCCCAGAAGGCGAAAGTCACAAAAGCTATGGGCTATGAAGCAAAAAAACACACAAGAGCCAAGAATCCAAAAGCCACAAGAGCCAAGCAAGAATCCAAAAACAAAAAAAAAACGCAAATAGCTACAGATAGCCAAAAATAGCCACAAATAGCCAAGAAGCTAGACTGGGAAACAAAAAAAACGAAACGAAACGCCCTTCCAACCTACCTGCTTACCTAGGGTTGGCTTTAAAATTTATTTAGGGTGGCTTGGGGTTCATTTATGGTTGGCTGAAGTTTTTTAAAGATTGGTTAGGGTCTTGCTGTTAGGCTCCGTTCAACGGTTGCTTCTAGTTTTCTGCAGGTTTGATTTATTCAATGTGTTTAGTAAGTACTCTATAAACATTTACACTGCGACTATGCCTTGCTCCCTTTGCTCCCTTGCTCCCTTGCTCCCTTGCTCCCTTGTCCTTCCCTTGTTCCTTCCTTCCTTCCGTCCTTCCCTTGCCTTCCCTTGTTCCTTCCTTCCTTCCTTCCTTCCTTCCTTCCTTCCTTCTTCCTCCTTCCTCCTTCCTTCCTTCCTTCCTTCCTTCCTGCCCCCGTTCCCTTCCCTTCCCCTCCCTTTCCTTCCCTTTCCTTCCCCTCCCTTCCCCTCCCTTTCCTTCCCTTTCCTTCCCTTCCCTTCCCCTCCCTTTCCTTCCCTTTCCTTCCCTTTCCTTCCCTTTCCTTCCCTTTCCTTCCCTTCCCCTTCCTTTCCTTGCATTTCCTTCCTTTCCTTTCCTTCCCTTCCATTCCTTCTTTCCCTTCTTCCTAAAGCCAAAAAACAAGAAAACGTCCCAAAAAAGTTGGGAAAAACAAGTAATGGCCCTCCACGGTTCTATTGCGATGCGAAAGTTGGGAAAAACAAGTAATGGCCCTCCACGGTTCTATTGCGATGCGAACAGCTGCTGCCGGGCTGCTTTGTCGCATAAGGCCAAGCACAAAGTTTCTCCAAGATATTCACCAAAACTTCACGCAGGTCAACGACTGGTCGTGCGCCTGAAACCGCTCATCTCTGCAACTAGTTGCCGTTTGCAGCCTTTGTTTGTTCACCTAGTCGGATACAGTTTACTAGATGCCAACATGTAAGATCATACTGGATCGAGGAATGCATAAATCAAAACAGACTCGCGTTCGGAAATCGCCCACTCGGCACTGTCCACGTCATTCCAACTCCACAAGTGCTCGCATTCTGTCTGTAACCACAGTTTCCTGCCTGTCTGTCCACCAGCAGACTTTGGAGGTTCAATTCGCCTTCCACAGGACCCCTTTGCTTTTCATGTGATGAGCCTCTTATTTGTGCGTGTGTGCGTGTGTGCGTGTGTGCGTGCGTGCGGGGGGTGGGGTGGGGTGGGGTGGGTGGGGTGGGGTGGGTTGTGTGGTGTGTGTCTGGTGTGTCCTGTGTGTGTCTGTTGTGTCTGTGTGTGTCTGTTGGTGTCTGTGTGTGTCTGTGTGTGTCCTGTGTGTGTCCCTGTGTTGTCATGTGTGTGGTCCTGTGTGTGTCGGTGTGTGATCCTGGGTGTGTCTGTTGTGGTCTGTGTTTGTCTGTTGTGTTGTTCTGTGTTGTGTGGTGTCTGTGGTGTGTGTGTGTCTGTGTGTGTCTGTGTCTGTGTGTCTGTGTCTGTGTGGTGTGGTCTGTGTGTGTTTGTGTCTGTGTGTGGGTGTGTGTCTGTGTTGTGTGTTGTCTGTGTGTGTGTGTCTGTGTGTTTTTTGTTACCTGTGTGTGTGTGTGTCTGTGTGTGTGGTGTCCTGTGTGTGGTGTCTGTGGTTGTGTGTGTGTCTTGTGTGTTCCTGTGTGTGTCTGTGGTTGTCTGTTGTGTTGTTGTCTGTTTTGTGTGTCGTGTTTGTGTGTGTCTTTGTGGTGTGTGTGTCTGGTGTGTGTGTGCGGTGGTGTGGTGTGTCGTGTGTGTGTTGTGTCTGTGTGTGTGTCTGTGTGTCTGTGGTGTGTGTCTTGTCTGTGTGTGTGTGTGTCTTGTCGGTGTGTTCTGTTGGTGTGTGTGTCTGTGTGTGGTGGGGTGTCCTGTGGTGGTGTGGGTGTCTGTGTGTGTCTGTGTGTGTCGTGTGTTCTGTGTTGTCTGTGTGTGCTGTTGTGTCTGTGTGTGTCTGTGTGTGTCTGTGTGTGTCTTTGTGTGTCTGTGTGTGTCTGTGTGTGTGTGTCTGTGTGTGTCTGTGTGTGTGTGTCTGTGTGTGTGTGTCTGTGTGTGTGTCTGTGTGTGTCTGTGTGTGTCTGTGTGTGTCTGTGTGTGTCTGTGTGTGTGTGAGTCTGTCTTGCGTCTGTGTCGGTGTCGGTGTCTGTGTGCCTGTAAGCCCCACAGGTCCTTAAAAGTTGATGAATATGAGCTTTCCAGAACTGCAATTGTCAGCATATTTATCAGCAAGGAAGCAGAAATCTCTGTCGCTCTTCACATCTTATTTTTGAGCTGAGTTGCAACGCTATGAACAGTGTCTTTGCAGCATGCCAGTCGGGATCCTTCGGTGTCAAGAGCAACGTGGAAATGCGCACACGCACCGGACACATTCATTCTTCACAGAAACAAGGTCCTTGAAGGGTACCCAAACCTGAGTTGAGTGGAGCAAAACGTGCCAAGAGTTCGAATGGTATTATGTGTCGCGAAGGGCAAGTAGATTGGTTGAACTACCTGAAATATTCCCATATCATTCCAACTGCAGGTCACCTTTCACTCAATCGTAAGCTTGTAACGGGCCAGGGCCGAGTATGCAATTGGCAAGTGCGAACGGCCTCCAACTTCTCAGCAACACCTGCAGGCAAAACAATGACACAACAAAGCAAAATTTGGAAATTGCGGCATAGTCGTAACCACAGCGCTCCGTCTTCCAACAATCATCCTCCCACCTTGCAAATGCCTTCTGCACCACAAGAGCCACTGACTCATGATTGCATCATTGGCGGCTGTTATGTCAATCTGCAAAAAATGAAAATGGCCTCAGCTGTCAGCTGACCTTGAATCCTTGCTTGGACTCTCAAACTGCTGCTGACTCCAAATCTAGAACAATCTATGTACAACATTTGTTGCAAAGAGTTTGTGTTTTGAAAGAAAAGGAGACAGCGCAAGCGGCAGTTGTCGCACCCATTAAACATGCAAAATGACATGCGTGATTTCAAGCGAAACCAGCCACAAACAGAGCGCATACAAACAGCAACTGTTGTCCTATGATGCGATGGTCGTCTCCAAGCGCTGGAATATTCATATTCACCACTATATGACATATCTCAATGGCGTTTTAAAGGGGTATATACTTGTTTCTACAATTTTCTACAATTCATTATTTTCCCACAACACGCATTCAAACTGCAAATCTTTTCACGCGTTCCAGCCGACAGTTTATGGAAATTACGCCGGCATAGGGCCCAGATAGCAAAAGGTATCCGCGGGCAGCACTTAAAGTTTTTTTTTTGACGCGCACAGCGCTCCAACACCAGCACCCTGCAGCGGCACCCTGCAGGGACAAAGACAGAGTCAGTCACCCGAGCCAGCCGCCCCAAACGTCCGAGTCAGCAACCCCATAGGACAAAGTCAGCCACCGGTGAACACTAGCGCAGGATGCAGGGAGACCATGAACGGGAGACAGAAAGTCCGCAACAAAGAGTCAGTCACCCCTCGGAAGCCGGGAGGAGGATCAAGGAACCCGGTCGAAAACAGAAAGTCAACAACAAAGAGTCAGTCACCCCTGACAGCTATTTATCTAGCTATCTATCTATCTATCTGTCTATCTATCTATCTGTCTGTCTGTCTATCTATCTATCTATCTGTCTGTCTGTCTGTCTGTCTGTCTGTCTGTCGATCTATCTATCTATCTATCTATCTATCTAGCTAGCTAGCTATCTATCTATCTATCTACCTACGTTACCTACCTACTATCTATCCATCTATCTAATCTAATCTAATCTATCTATCTATCTATTAAGGAACCCATGGGAACATGGAAAAACGGAACGTCAACAACAAAGAGTTCCCCAAAGAAACCCCAAACCAACACTAAGTAAAGCCTAAACCAACCATCACGCCGACCCTGACAAAACCCTAAATAAACCCTAAACCATTTTTTGAACAAATCCCGACGAAACCCTTATTAACCCTAAACCCACCCCAAAGAAACCCTAAACCAACCCGAAATATACCCTAAACCAACCCATAAATATACCCTAAACGAAACCTAAACCAACCCTAAATAAACCCTAAACCGACCTTGAATAAACCGTAAACTAACCCTAAGCCAACCCTAAGTAAACCCCAAACCAGCGCTAAAACAAATCCTTAACCAACCCCAAACCAAACCCTGACGAAACAATAATTCAACCTTAAACCAAACCAAAAGAAACCCTAAACCAAGCATCCATAAACCCCGAACCAAGACTACATAAACCCTAATACAGAAACCCTAAACCAACCCTCAAGCAAAACCTGGCGAAACCCAAATTTCACCTTGAACCAAACCTAAATCCGCCCACACCGCTTTGGCGGTGAAGGCGTGCTTATTGGGGGGCAACAGCAACACTAAATGCTCAATGACATTTGTTAATATAGCAGTCGCTATATCAGCTTTAGCTGGGGGGGGGGGGCCCAAGCTTGGGGAGCCCCCACGGGGGGGAAAAGTGAAAATTCCCTAGCTTGGGGAGCCCCCACGGGGGGGGAAAGTGAAAATTCTTAGCTTGGGGAGCCCCCACGGGGGAAAACCACCCTTAGCCCCTCTCACGGACCGAAATAAACCTGCGGTGTGGGCGGCCACCCCACGCGAAGCGGGGTGAATAAACCCTAAAACAAGCCTAAATAAACCCAAAACCAACACTAAATGGACCCTAAAGAGACCCTAAAACAAACCTTGAGGGAACCCGACATTAACCATTAACCCGACGAAGCTAACCTCAAATAAAACTTAAACCAAACCTGACTATACCCTAACCAAGCCTAAATAAACCCTAATCCAACCCTCGCACAAGCCCTGATGAAACCCTAACTTAACCTTAAACCATCCATTAAAACCCTAAACCATGCCTAGATAAACCCCAAACCAACGCTAAGTAAACCCTAAATAGAGCCTAAACCAAACCTTTGACGAAACCCTACATTAGCCCTAAACCAACCCTACATAAAACCTAAATCAATCCTGAATATACCCAAACCAAGCCTAAATAAACCTTAAACCCAACCTAAATAAACCCTAAACCAGCCCTCAAACACCTTAAACCAAGCCCAAATAAACCCCAAACCAACACTAAGTCAACCCTAAATATACCTTAAAACAAACCATGAAGAAACCCTGCAGAAACCTCAAACCAACCCTAAGCCTAAAAACCAACCCTAAATAAACCCCAATACACCTTGAAACAACCCTGAACCAACCCTAAAGAAACCATGTCACTTTGATGGCCTCCACCCTGCAGCACCAGCAACCAAGCTCACAAGCCCACACACCACACTGACAGCAGCACCCTGTAGCAGCACCCTGGAGCGGCGCCCTGCAGCGGCACCCTCCACTGGCACGCACCCAAGTTCCAAGGCGCATACAACACTTCCACCGACCCCTGAAAGCAGCACCCTGCAGCGGCATCCAAAGCGCAAACAGCACTTTGACAGCAGCGCCCTGCAGCGGCACCCTGCAGCGGCAGCAACAACGCAAACACCACTCGGACAGGCATCCTGCAGCAACGCAATGCAGCAGCACCAGCAACCAGACTCCAAAGCCGGAACGTCACTCTAACACAAGCACCCTGCGACAAGACCCTGCAGCTGCACCAGCAACCAAGCTCCAACAGCACTCTGACAGCAGCACCTTGTAGTGGCACCCTGCCCTGCAGCGGAACCAGCAACCAAGCCCCAAAGCGCACACAGCACTCTGACAGCAGCACCTTGCAGCAACACCCTGCAAACGGCGCTCTGCAGCGGTGCCAGCAACAAAGCTCCAAAGCGCAAACAGCGCCAAGACGCAAACATGCAACTCTTCTTGTATCTGAAGCAAGAACCCCACTAGCTTTGCTATCTGGGGAAAAAGGGATCAATTCTTTCCCCGTGAGACGCTGGAGGCCGCCTGTCAACTGAACTGTAACCTTTTTTCTATAATTCTGTCGGATGCTGTACTAGAATATATAATAACAGATTATATGTTCCATTGTATTATATTCCTATCATGTTTTAATGTGTTACACATTGGTTCGTGACTTAATCTGCAAAGAATCTCTAGACAGAGATTGGCATGGCATTGTCATGTCAAATCAATTGCAAGATCTTACCAGAATATCCTGAAAGAGGTCTTGGACTAATCTCCGCACAGTGATTCCGGAGTGCAATCCCGTTTCTGTTGCCAAGCCGGTGGAAGAAACACCAGCAACCGTGCTGCCAAGACTCGTTCAAAAAATTTAGAGCTTGCAAACAAATGGTTCCAATCAGCTGCGCCATTCTGTATTTTGGCACATATCCTGGAACAAACCCCAAGAACAAGTCGGATACACCCTGTCTGAATTGGCAGGCTGCAGAAAGCTGCGGCAAATTTTGACCACATCATGTTTGAGCAAAGGTTGATTATTACACCCTCGTAGGCCCCAAACAGCGTCTGCGTGCATGTTTTTGTTTATTAATACTATTTTATACTATAGCTCCTGATGCTGGCAGTTTTTGATCCGAGCATGGGTCACAAGCAATTTGTCTCATGCCACACGCTTTCGATTTTTTGCCACAGCATTTGTATCTGTGACAATCAGAGGGAGACAAGGTAGGAGACAAGGGGGAGACAAGTGATAAAACGCATAAAACCAAAGCACGAAACACAAATAAAACCATGATGAAACTAGAACAGGACACCGACACTAAGGCAGACATAGGATTGGAGACAAATGACTTCGGAGACAGATGAAGTACGGGACAGGTGACAGACAAATGATGGAAGACACACAAAGGCGAACAGGCGAAAGAGCCTGACATCATCACCACAAAGGCAGACCGGTGATTGGGGACAAACTATAAAATTGGGAAACGGATAAATTGGGAGACACATGGCCAGAGGCACATGGATGTGGGTCAAAATGGAAGACCTAGGGGACCACAGATGTTAGTCTAGTTTAGTATTAACCATCCAATTATTGGGGTACCTAATTTTGACCCATACCCACATGGCCAGAGACAAGTGAAAGCACACAAAAGACATCCGGAGAGCCGGACACCACTAGACAGCGTGGGACAAATAAAGGACGACAAGCGAAGAGACACATCCAAAGAGCCGGACACCACCAGCCAGAAAGGGAGCCAAATGGCGGGAATCAAGTAAAGAGAGGCACCCAAAGAGCCGAACACCACGAGCCAAACGGAGAGACAAATGAAGGGAGACAAGTGAAGACAAACATCCGGAGAGCCGGTCACCACAAGCACGCAGGGATAAAAATGAAGGGAGACCCAGCAAAGAAAGACATCTGGAGAAAGGAGACAAGTGAAGACAGGCATCCAAAGAGCCGGACCAGCCAGACCGCGAGACAAATGAAGGAAGACAAGAGAGCCGGGCACTATATACTAGGCACACAACGTACCCAAGAATCCTGGTTCTGGAATCATGTTCGTTATTTTGCGCCCAAGTCAACAAAATAAAGCCAAAATATAGAGTAAATGAAGGTCAGAGACCAACATGGCCCTGGCGTGACCCAAAAGTGGCGCGTGCATGTGGGCCTTAGTGCCACGGCCCAAGTTAACACGCCGTTCTTGGCCCAACATGTGACATAGGCTCAGCACAGGCTCAACATGGCCCCAACATGGCCCCAAAACCAAGGGCTCATTTTTGTCACTGACGCCCTTAAATCAAGGCTCAAATGATCCCATCGCTTTGACTAACAAGAGCCCAACATGAAGCAACATAGGCCCAACATGGGTCCCACGTAGGCCCAACGTGGCCCAAAAATTGCATGTTCTTTTAGGCTTTGATATCAGGCACACCAAAAAAAAAAACACCGTTTTTGGCCCAACATAGGCTCAACATGCCCCAAAAAGGCCCCAAAACCAAGGGCTTGTTTTTATCATTGGCGTTCGTAAATCAAGGCTTAATGATCCCCACATCCAAAGAGCACCAGCCAGACTGGGAGGCAACTGAATTGGGAGGCAAGCGAAGACAGACATCCCAAGAGCCAAAGAGCACCAGTCAGACTGGGAGACAAATGAATTGGGTTATTGGTGTTGGTTGGATCGGGGTCGCCGGATCGGAATCTATACGGTTGGATCGGGACGGTATATGGGTCGCAACCTTGCGGGCTACAGCAATCACCCCGAGCGTCCCGAGCGCCCCACCAGCCCCAACAAAGAAACATTAAAAGAAATCCTAAAGAAACCCTAAAGAAGTCCGTCCCGACAGTCCCAACCGCCCCGACCGTCCCGACCATTCATCCACGATGTTGATCCAGGATCGTCTTTGATGCTGATTCTGCAACACTACTCGGGACACTGCTCTGTGATGCTGACCCGACTCGACGTTTCTAAAACGGAATTTACTTTGAGAGAAGTGAAGACAGACATCCCAAGAGCCGCACACCACCAGCCAGACTGTGAGACAAATGAACTGGGAGACCCAGCGACGGGGGACAAACGAAACGAATTGGGAGACAAGTGAAGACAGGCATCCAAAGAGCCGGACACCACCAGCCAAACGGAGAGACAACTATGAAGGGAGACAAGTGAAGACAGATATCCGGAGAGCGGACATCACCAGCCAGACTGGGAGACAAATGTGAATTTTGAGACAAGTGAAGACAGACATCCAAAGAACCGCACACCACCAGCCAGACTGTGAGACAAATGAACTGGGAGACCCCGCGAGGGTGAGGGATCAAAAAATATATATTTAAGGCATCAAAAAAAATATTCCCCTGGAATCCCCTGGAATCCCTTGTTTTCTATGGCCCTTGCCACAGTTTGGAGACAAGCCGAGCATTTCTGTGGTATTTGCATCATTTTGGAAGTGGAGCCTCTCGCCCGTAAGGTTTTTGCAGGACATTGGACCTAGAAATCGAGCATTCGCAGGGCTCGACGCTGCCGTTTCGACAGCACCTGCAACACTTTGGAGTTCGAATTTTTGATTTTCGATGGTTGCTTTGAAACTTACGTTGGCTTAAGGTTTGTTTATGTTTGGTTTAGGGTTGATTTAGGCTTGGTTTGATGGCTATTACGTGGACTTAGGTTGGTTTAGGGTTAGTTTAGGGTTGGCCTATGGTTTACTAGGTGTCTATTCAGGGTTGGTAAAAGGTTTATTTAGGTTTCGTTCAAACATTTTTTGAAGTTATTTAATTTTTTTGTGTTTATGTAGGGTTGGTTTAGGGGTTATTTTGATTTTGCTCAAGGCTTTGTGGTTTAGGTTTCGCTTGGGATCTATTGAGGGTTGGTTGTTTGTTTATTTACGGTTGGTTCAAGATTTGTTTAGTATATTTAGGGTTGGTTTTAGGGTTTGTTTAGGGTTGGTATTCAGATTTGTGTAGGGGCTGTTCAAAGTTTATTTAGGGTTGATTCAGGATGTATTTGGGATTGGCTCGTGGTTGGTTTAGGTGTTATGTAGGGTTGTTTCAGGGTTTCTTTAGGGTTGGCTTAGGGGTTAGTTTGGGTTGTTTTAAAGTCTATGTAGGTTTTCTTTCCGGTGTCTTTAAAGTTGGTTTAGTGATTTGTTTCTGGTTGGTTCAGGGTTGGTTTAGGATTTATGTAGGGTTGGTTTGTGGTGTATTTGGGCTTACTTAGGGTTTATTTAGGGTTGGTTCGTTGTTTGTTTAATAAGTGTTCTTTAGGGTTTATTTACGGTTGGCTTATGGTTTTTTAGGGGTGGCTTAGGATTTATTTGGGGTTGGTTTAGGGATTATTTGCGATTGGCTTAAGGTTGATTTTGGTTTCGCTTACAACTTATTTAAGGTTCGTTTAGGTTTCGTTTAGGGTTTATGTAAAATTTGCTTAGGGATGTTTAGGGTTTATTTAGGGTTTGTTTAGGGCTGATTGAGGGTTGGCTTAGGATTCGTTTAAGACTTACTTTGGCTTGGGGGTAATTTAGGGGTTATTGAGGCTGATTTAGGGTTTTTTACGGCTGGTTGAATTAAGGATTATCTTCAAAATGTTTTTAAGGCACCAGAGCCACCAAAGGACGGAAGGACCAAGGGACCAGAAGACCAGAGGACCAAGAGACCGGAGGACCAAGGGACCAGAGGACCAAGGGACCAGAGGACCAAGGGACCAGAGGACCAAGGGACCAAAGGACCAGGGGACCAAGGGAGAGGACTGAAGGACCGGGAGATTCAAAAACCACAAGATTTGAAAATTGCATAAAAGGGCCAAAACACTGCACCAGCGCGGGAAAAATGCATATTTTTGTTTGATCCCTTAAATATGTTTTTGGTGCATTAAATATTTACTTTCTGATGCCTTAAATATATATTTTTTTGAACCCCATGCCACCCAGCGACGGGGGACCAACGATGGGAGACAAGTGAAGACAGACAGCGAAAGAGCCGGACACCACCAGCCAAACAGAGAGACAACTATGAAGGGAGACAAGTGAAGACAGATATCCGGAGAGCGGACATCACCAGCCAGACTGGGAGACAAATGTGAATTTTGAGACAAGTGAAGACAGACATCCAAAGAGCCGAAAACCACCAGCCAGACGGGGAGACAACTATGAATTGGGAGACAAGTGAGGACAGGCATCCAAAGAGCCGGGCACCACCAGCCAGACTGCGAGACAAATGAAGGGAGACAAGTGAAGACAGACATCCAAAGAGCCGAAAACCACCAGCCAGACGGGGAGACAACTATGAATTGGGAGACAAGTGAGGACAGGCATCCAAAGAGCCGAAAACCACCAGCCAGACTGCGAGACAAATGAAGGGAGACAAGTGAAGACAGACATCCAAAGAGCCGAAAACCACCAGCCAGACGGGGAGACAACTATGAATTGGGAGACAAGTGAGGACAAGCATCCAAAGAGCCGGGCACCACCAGCCAGACTGCGAGACAAATGAAGGGAGACAAGTGAAGACAGACATCCAAAGAGCCGAAAACCACCAGCCAGACGGGGAGACAAATGAAGGGAGACAAGTGAAGACAGACATCCAAAGAGCCGAAAACCACCAGCCAGACTGCGAGACAAATGAAGGGAGACAAGTGAAGACAGACATCCAAAGAGCCGAAAACCACCAGCCAGACGGGGAGACAAATGAAGGGAGACAAGTGAAGACAGACATCCAAAGAGCCGAAAACCACCAGCCAGACTGCGAGACAAATGAAGGGAGACAAGTGAAGACAGACATCCAAAGACCGCAAACCACCAGCGCCCGACTGGAACAAATGAAGGGAGCCATCGAAAAGAGCCGAAAACCACCAGCCAGACTGCGAGACAAATGAAGGGAGACAAGTGAAGACAGACATCCAAAGAGCCGAAAACCACCAGCCAGACTGGGAGACAAATGTGAATTTTGAGACAAGTGAAGACAGACATCCAAAGAGCCGGACATGAATTCGGCCGCATCTGGAGAGCCGGACACCACCACC